AGGCATACAGTATCAAACATATATGAACACAATTGTTATGATTTCCTATTTATTTTTCTTACTTGATATATTTTCAGGTAGCAAGAAAACAAAGGAAAAAATTTTACCTCTCCTTTTTTGAGCTGGATGTGGTTTGTCTTTTTGCTTCTTTGAATGGGGTATCTTGAGATCCGAGTGTACCACTCTCTCCTCACTCATTTCTGAGGGCTACAAGCAAAGAAGACAACAAGAAAATGTTGTGAAGTTTCATAATGCGTAATTAATTCAGTTGAAAAATGGAAACATTCATCATGAAGTAATGGGGAGATCTAAATGAGTTTAAGTACAATGGTCTCAAGAAAGTGAATCAAAATAGCCATTTCTCTGGATAATCGGAAAAAGTGATTTTTTTTTTTTAATATACCTTTGTACTCACTGTTACTGGATGTTATTTTAATTTTGCAGAATGTATTTAAAGAATTAAATTAGTTGCCAAAATTTAAAACTTGATATACTTCATACACAAAAATCTAGATTTATATCTTCTCTTGAAAATTGTAGCTGATTAGTTAGCACCTGCCCAAAAGGCAATCATCTTCTGACACTGAATAAACTCACCATCTTTTAGAAGGACACACACACACACAATCCAAATAGACAAGCTCCTCAACTTGCCAAATTGTCTTATCCAAGACTCCATTTACTAATCTCTCTTATCACTTGAAATTTATAAGCACTGGAGTTCATGACTTCGATCTTATAATCAGGAAAGGTGCCCGGTAGGGTTGTACCCTTTCATCACACTTATTCAGTCTGTATGATGAGCAAATAATCTGAGAAGCTGGACTGTATGAAGAAGAATGAGACCTCAGGATTGGAGGAAGACTTAACTAACAACCTGCATTATGCAGATGACACAACCTTGCTTCCCGAAAGTGAAGAGGACTTGAAGCACTTACTGATGAAGATCAAGCACCACAGTCTTCAGTATGGATTACACCTCAACATAAAGAAAACAAAAATCCTCACAACTGGACCAGTAAGCAACATCACGATAAATGGAGAAAAGATCGATGTTGTCAAGGATTTCATTTTTACTTGCATCCACAATCAACACCCATGGAAGAAGCAGTCAAGAAATCAAATGACACATGCACTGGGCAAATCTGCTGCAAAACACCTCTTTAAAGTGTTAAAAAGCAAAGATGTTACTTTGAGGACTAAGGTGCACCTGACCCAAGCCATGGTCTTTTCAATAGCCTCGTATGCAAGCAAAATCTGGACAATGAATAAGGAAGGCCAAACAATTGAGGGCTTTGAATTATGGTGTTGGCAAAGGACATTGACTCTACCGTTAACTGCCAAAAAAACAAACAAATCTATCTTGAAAGGCGTACAGCCAGAATGCTTGGAAGCAAGGATGGCGAAACTTTGTCTCACATACTTTGGACAGGTTATCAGGAGGGCCTAGTCCCTGGAGTAGGACATCATGCTTGGTAAAGTAGAGGGTCAGTGAAAAAGAGGAAGACCCTCAATGAGATGGATTGACACAGTGGCTGCAACAATGGATTCAATCATAGCAACAATCATGAGAATGGCGCAGCACTGGGTAGCGTTTTGTTCAGTTGTACATAGGGTCTCTGTGCATTGGAATAGACTCCACAACACCTAACAACAACAACAACAACATCTTACCGTGTGACCAAAGTGCAGAAACCATGGGATCAAGGAAAAGGGACTTGAGGAAGTAACATTAACTGAGCTAAACATCATGAATAATTCTAACAACAACCCTGCACAGTGATA